TCNTATCCAAGCATATCGGTCTTAACCAACCTTTTCATGCGTTTACTATACATGATTGGGACTAGAATTTAGTTCATGTGGCATGTATGCGGCAGGTGGGTCCCATGCGCAGATGCATATGTGGTTAGATAATTCAATCCCATCAAATAGGTGAGATAGTTTTATCCCACTAATGAAATGACAATTTTGTCCATAAAAAAAGTAATATTATTTAATTTAAATAATTTTATTTAATTTAAAAATATTAATTTATATAATTTTATTTAATTTATAATAATATTATTTGATTTATATAATATTAATTATATAATTTATATAATTTAAAAAATATTATTTAATCCAAATAAATTTATTTAATTTGAAATAATATTATTTAGTTTAAAAAATATTGATTTAAAATAATATTATTTAATTTAGAAATATTAATTTAAATAATGTTATTTTATTTAAAATAATAATATTATAAAAAATATTAATATCAATAGATTATTTAATTTTTATTATAAAAAATGTAAAAATATATTTATTTTTTAAGTACAATATAGATGTTAAAACGAAGCTCATCATGGAATTATTAGTTTGATATATAATATATAAAATTTTTATAATAAATTTAAAAACTATTAATCTTTAAAATATATTTATAATTTATTTTTAAGGTCAAAAATTGGAGGAAATATCTGATGTTTTGTGTGTAGGAGATGAGGGTATATTTGTCTTGTGCTATTTATCATCTCATTTTGTCCAGATTAGTAAATGCTTGATTGAAAATGCATCATGTTTTGTGAACATTGGATAAATACTGACGTATAAAGTGGGTGGGATAAATCTGTCCAATCCCATCCAATCTCATCCCATAAAGTAAAAGAGGCCTTATAGACTAGAAAGTTGTCAAATACAGTTGAATCAATCAGCTAATAAGCTGAATATCTAGAAAAATGTCTACTTAAAGGTAGCCTAAAAAAATACAAATACAAACACAAACTAAAATAAAATACTACACATGTGGGGATTACAAACTCCAATAATGGAAATGGCATGTGTCGGAGGCTTAGTGCGCGTTGAATTGGGCAGGTGGAGTTCCGGTTTTACGATGAATATTGGGTTTTGCTCAATCATGGGTGCAGAATTATGGGGTCTATTGCAGGGTTTAAAGTTGGCATGGGATAAGGGGGCATCACATGGTTATTGCGGAAGTTGATAATAACAGCGTGGTGAAAGTGATACTACAGGATGCGGCTCCGTCCGGGGTTAACAACAGTATCATTCTAGGTATTCGAGACTTATTGGCTAGGGAATGGAAAGTGGAGGTTCGCCACATCCATCGAGAAGAGAACTTCGCAGCTGACTATCTCGCGTCGATGGCCTCGACAATGCCAAGTAGGCTTTACGTTCTTGACGACCCACCCACGGGGTAAAACCGTAGTTAGAACATGATAACTTAGGGGTTTCTTATCCTCGCAACATTGTCGTCTAAGGCGTTTGCCTCCTTTATTGCACAAAAAAAAATGTATATTGTGACGGTTTTATCCGATGTCACTATGATTTGAAANATACATACTAAAGTAAAATACAATAAAAGCTCCCCGCCTCTTCTTGCTAAACAGTATCCACCACTAAGAGCTAGCCCTAAACTACTAGCAACTACCCTCCATTAATAAGTTACCATCAGATACTCAAAAGCAACCGCTAACAAACTTTGGGGTCATCCATTCTAAAGACAAAGAAAAAACAATGAAATCTCTTTCCGCAAAATAAATATACCTATCCCCTCTAGTGCTGATGGGTCTGTGTGTCTTGTCTCCAAAGATTGTAGCATACTAGACTCGTGGCACAGCCGATAATGGTTGTAAAAGTGAACTAAAGATTGTTGTAATGGGCTCAACATTCCAAGGCCCAAGCCCGTGCTCGTTCCTGGGCCCGAGCTGCCCACCGGCAGGCAGGCGCACGCGTGTGGCCGAATTCAACGCTAGCACTCGGTACATAGTTTTGTTGTTGTTGTTACCTTTCAAACTTTGTTTACTATAATAAAGAGGGTTATCCTCATTTAAGAGTCCAATGTAGGATAAGACTCTTTACCTTTCGAATACCACAACCAACGTTTTGCTTATATCAATCGCCAACATTGATAATTTATTTCTTACTCACAAAAAATTAATTTTGAGAAAATAAATATACCACGCTTACCTACTCGGAACGTAGAATTTTTCTACACAGTTTAATTCAACCCGAATTAAATATTTAGTCATAAAAAAATCAATCAAAATTAGGTCAAACCCAATTTATTTCTCTGATTTTCTAACATTACTTCTCGATGGATTTTTTTGGCTTCTTTGGCCGCAACTTCTCCAGGAGGCCTGCAAAGCTTCGAAGTTCTACCGGTTGGTTTAAGACCTTGGTTAGAACATGATATGTTTGATGTAGTCTACTCTCGTAAAGTAGCGATGTAGTTTCCATTGTTTTCTCCCCTATTTGTACCAAAAAAAAAATAAAAAAGATATAGAGTGTTTTTATGAAGTTTTGTTTTTTACTAGAGTTGCACTTGGCAAGCCAGGTAAAAGTAGACACAAAAATGTCCCCAAAAAAATAAAAACTAAAAAATAAAATGCACCCACCGTGGAGTTTGAAATAAAGCTATTCTCCTAGGAAGAAAATGATATTATTTCTCGGATATATTGATTGTTTGGCTGCTCTCAGTAGTGAGAATTCAACAAGGCAATTCACGTAGATCTCCCTATTATACTCCTACAATCCTGTTGTGGGCAGATACTTCCGAAGCTAAAAGTGGACCGAAAACCACTAACAGAAGAACGTATTGTGATACATGATATGCCTCATCTCAAAACGTGCTCTACTCAGCACCCAAGGGATTGATTATTCACAACAGAGACACCACCAAGTATGATCTCCAAGCCTCCAGAGTGTAGTGCAATCCATACCAACTAATCGTTTAATCTATCATCCCCACTTTTTCTCAGCACTGGTGGTACACGGAAAAACTCTTGTTCTTCCTCCAGAAACTCAACGCTTTACCCACTTTATGCCTGGACACCGTCTTTGACAGGGGCCTCTGAGAGACTGGCTCTGTGGGCAATGGCGATGGTTCCCTCTCCTTGTGCCTCTGCCTCTGCTCCCGGAACAGCATCAGGAGCTTCTGCGCCTTGTGCTTTCCCCTCACAGTCCCATTCACCGAAATCGACACTAACGAGGGTATAACCCCTTCCTGAAGCACCATCTCAGTACACTTTTCATCCAAACTGCATAGCATCAAAAGGCAAGCTGCAGTCTGCTCTTGCTCCACAGGCTCCCCCACATCAAGAACAGTAGCAAGCGCGTTAATCAAGCTCGGCACTGCTCGAATCTCGTCACGCGCGTTTTTACTCGACGCCAAATAGATTAGGATGGCTATGCATTTCTCGGTCCACGGGTGACCGATGACAGCCTGGAGGGCCTCGATTATGCCAGCTGTCAGAAGGTGAGGAATGTTGGCCGGCTCACTGGATATGTTGTAGAGGGTGTGAAGAGCGTCTAACTTGCACTGCTCCTCGTTTTCGTTCCTCAGGACCGAGATCAGAAAAGGGACTGCAACGCTGTTCCCGATTATGGCCTTGGCCTCGTCGAGACATGATAGGTTTAGATACAGGGCCGTGGCTGCTCCTGCTGAGTCCGCATTGCTGGACATTTTGTGCAGTAATGGCAGCACGCCCAAGGCCAGCATCGATTCTTTGTTTCTGAAAAACCGTCACACAAACTTTTTTATTGAATACGTTCTGTGAAGAATAAAAATCGAGGCAAAATTGCATTTTTAATATTGCTGGTTTAACGTCATAGCATTTTTAGTCCCAAGATTTCAACTTTTTGTCTTTTGATCCTGTAATTTAGTATTTTGCTGCAATTTCAGTCATTTGGGACTGAAATTGCAACAAAATTTAAAATTATAGGGACTTAAATTGCTAATAAAAAAATCCATCAATTTTAAATTTTGTTGCATTTTCAATCCCAAAGGACTGAAATTGCGTTGAATTTTAAAATCATAGGACCAAATAGCAAAAATGTTCAATTCTTAGGACTAAAAACGCCACTTGCAATTTTGCCAAATATCGATGCAGGAAATAGTGAAAAAAACTCACAGAACTTGCATCTTCAAAATCTTAAGTGGGTACCTGTTATTATTTACAGCTAGGTTGAAAAGAGCCATGGCTCCAGTCTCCTGGGCCGTCTGGTCCCCAACGGATATTGCATGCTCCAGAAACCTCAGCAATGCCTCCAGAAAGCCGTTGGCCCCCACATAAATCCTGGCCTCTTCATCATCCTTGAGCAAGTGCCTTATTTTCTCCACCACCTTGCATTTCCTCACCAGATCACCATCCTCCTCATCCTCCAAAACCCTTAAGAACCCCTTGTATTTCTCAAACACACGAGCCTCGCAAGTTTCATCCTCCTCCTCCTCTTCCACCTTGATGTTGTTAAGTGGCACACCCTTGTACTCGAGTGACTTCGAGTCAGCCGAGTAGCTTTCCGAGAGCACCAGCCTCCAGTAGTTGAGATCAAGTGACTCGGGAGGACCTTCTGGGACGGGAACTCCGTTCTGCTCACACCATCCGCCCACGAGACCCTTCACGCAGTAATTAGAAGTAAGTGAGAGATGTGGGAGCTGCTGCTGGGTCTTTGGGCACGTTTGGTGCCCGTCATCAAACCACTTTTCAATGCAAACCCTTTCATATGTCTGCCCGGAAGCTATGATGACAGGGTCGTACATGAGCTGCAAGGATATCGGGCACCTAAGCTCCTCGGGAGGGACGGGCATCTGCCCGGACCTTCTGAGGTTGGGCTTGAAGTTGAAGGAGCTAAGCTTTGACAGCTGGCGGTCGAAAAAGGGACAGCTGGCGTTGCCCTGCAGAGTGGGGGAGCAAGGGGTCGAGCCTTGGGAGTCATTGTCGTCTGAGATCTCGCTTCTGAAGAGCTTCGAGTACTTTTTGATGAGGTGGAGGAGATAAGCCACGATTGACTCTTTCCTCTTGTCCTCCTCGGTTTGGGCTCGGTCCACGAGCTTTTTCAAGGCCCGTCTTTCGCGGAGGGCGGCCCGCGAAGAGGTGATGCCGAGCTTGCTGGCTGCCTGATGGAAGGACTCGAGCTCGTTGTTGTCGTTTGAGCCGGTGCTGAAGTTGCTCCCTTGCTGAAGAAGGGTAATTATCTCGTCCCCGATTTGCTTCTCGGTTGGATTGAGTGTGAACTCTATACACCCAAGCTCGACTAGGATCTCAGCAATCTGCAAAGGAAACAAAAATTTGGATAATTTACGCACACATGACCAGAATATGTCAGAATACCGTTCGTCTGTAAGTACATCTTAGGAATGGTTATTTCCTTGGAATGGAGAAAAAAAAGAAAAGAAAAGAAAAGAAAATGACTGGTTCTTCAGGGTTTAGTCTGATAAATTCATCTCTTAGAACTGGCTTTAAGTTGACATCCTTTGCCCCATTCTTGACTAATAACTTCTCAAAATTAAAATTGAAGAAAGCACAACTGAGTACCTGAACACCAATGGCTTGGGGAACAATATCTTCAACACGCCTCAAACCATCTTCTAGGGCACATCTGGCCTTCTCAAATTTCAGAACAACAGAGTCTCCAGTTATTGCCTGATGACATATCAAGCAATAAATTAAAGCACAAATCTTAAGAATATTAATCACAATGACACTCGTATAAACACAGAACTGCAGATAATTGCATAATCCCTGTTACATACAGAATATCACAAACTAATAATGCAGTCAAATCCTTTATAACCATATGTTGGGTACAATTTCAGACTAAGGTTATCATTTTCAAATGTGCACGAAAATAAGTTAACTTGTCCTGATCAAGAAAGCTAATGAAAGAAATACTGACAAGGAAGAAATGTTCACAGTTATGACAATCGAATGAACTAATAAAATTTATTACTCAAAACTCGTCCCATTTTAGTAGTCGCATTTCTAATTTTCACCCATATCATGGGAATGGGATTATATTTCATCATAAAATCCTAAAAAAACTCAATCTTTCTGTTATACCATTGTCTATGAAAAATCCAACAAGAAGAAAGGAATTACAATCTTTGAACTATCAATAGATGTTATACAATTGTAAAAAAATAAGTGATATGGGACTTTAATAGCATAGAGATGGAGGAGGGAATATTACATAGTTACAATTTGAGTTCATTTTCATTGTTCTTTAACACTTCATATCAGAATTTACACAAGAAGTATTTCATACCAAGTAGAGTTTACTACAATCAGCGCAGTGTTGGAGAATATTCTTGGTCTTCTCAAGTGCAATGTGGAGGGCACATAGTGCCTGAATGCCGGATGTGCTTCTGGGTCTTGATGCTTCAAGGTCAGGAAATATGCCCAACACTTTCACATACACATCATACAGGCTCTTGCACATGTCACCATGTAACTGCACCAAGAAACATATTGGTTACTCGAATTATTAAATGCAAGTTTGCACCATGATGCAATCGGAATGAAACTGAAACTGTAATATAGCAATATCTGCACAATGATCATGAGAAGCTGCAGCCCATTTCTAAACTAAATTAATTACTAAAATGAAGTAAGAAAGAAAAAAAGATAAAATCTGAAAGTGGTAACAGATAGGCAAAGTAAATCTGGGTATCTGAGTAGTATCTATACCTTTGGCTCACTGATGGAGAGTAAATTATCTTCAACCTCAGAACTGTCCATGTTGTTGGGGTGTGGAATAAATGAAGTTTACGATAAAAAAATTTCAGAAAGCCTGGCATATAGTCAAAAGTTGAAATTACAATTAATATTAAAAGCTCAAAAATAATTACCCAAACAGGAAAAATACTATTTAGTTAACCGAGAAGGAAAAAAAAAGTAATCATTTTGGTGCAAAAAAATTACTCAGAAAAGCAAATGAATGATGATCTATCAGCTTACTATTAACAATGTCACATCTAATCAATAGAATTACCTCATTGATGACAACAAATTATTAATTTTGTCGGAAAAAAAAAATGGAAAACTCCATCCAAAGAACTCACAGAATAGGAGAATTCAAACGAAAAAAAATCGACACTGCAGGATTTCAAAACATACTAATTAAAAGGAATAATAAGCAAACGCAGCGGGAAATGACTAAATACAACGGGAAAAATAAAAAATGCAGAAAACCAGAGATGGAAATGTCAAATGAGAAACATACCTATAAATACATATTTGAAAAGCTATTAATAAAATGGCGAATTTCTATTTTCGTTTTTATCTTGCGGACAAACGAAACAAATGGCGTATCTCCGTAGCTTCAAATGTTCAGGCAAGAATAATAATAANNNAAAAGCGAAACACAAGAAATGACAAAACTACACATACCTCGTCAAAATCCACAACATTCCAAAAAGGAAAGCAAAACAGAGGAAAAGAAATCATTAATCTGAAAAGAAAATCGTACCCGGAATAAATCGGAAATGATCCAAGGAGGCTTCATCAACTCACAGGAAAATGGTGTCGAAATTGAAGTCCCGCCACAGGTTTTCTTATTCAGATCAGCAGATTTTAGTGAGAGAAAAGGGGAGAAGGGTGAGCAGGTTATGATTTGCTTTGCAGTGCGTAAATGGAACATCAGAATTAACTAATATTTTATTTAATGAGGGGTTAGTTATTTAACTTATTCTATTTTTATCTTTTATATTGAGTGAAAATGATGCTTAACGGGGTCAAAACTGGTATTTTTTACCAAGACTGTCTCCCCGGCTCGCCGACATTTGCCGACCTCCAGTTTTTGTCTGGTAGCAGATCTGCTCATTAATGCCAAGTAATGTCTGTTTTGCCCTTCCTGAACGTGAGGCGTATTTTACTCGTGATTTGACTGCCTACCTGGTTCGAGCAAGCACAGGTTTCAAACTCAAAAAAGTTTTAATTAAAGGCAAAATTACATTAAATAGGCACAACCTTTTCAATTTTTGCAGTAAAATCACGCTTTCAAAATTTGCTAATTAATAGTGCCAATTTAATTTTGTTTGGCAAATCAAAACACTTTATTTGCACTGACTCAATGAAATTCGTTTGCGTCCCATAGTTTATACTTTACCGCATAAATATTTTATACTCCCTCCATTTTGAAATATAAGGCATTTAAGGTTATTGCACAAATATTAAGGAGACATTAATTAATGAATAAATTGACTAAATTAACCTTATTTACTCTAATCACAACCACTCCACACTTCCTTAATTTCAACACAATGAGGGTATATTTGGAAAAAAATGCAAAAATTTGTCTTGATTTTTGAGCGCGCCTTATATTTCAAAAAAAATGAGAAATCTTTATACGCCTTATATTTCAAAATGGAGGGAGTATTTATTAATAAATTATTATCGCATGTATGTCACATAGCTTTAAAAAAAAACATCCCAAGAGTGAGGTATTAAGACCAGATCTCCAACTTGTATATAGCCAAAATCCTAATTGGGACGAAGAAATCACAAGTCTACACATGTCCGAACAACAAACGAAAACAAAGTGGAAAAAGGAGAAAAAGAAACATCAACTAAAATGAAGAGTCTATACCTGGGTTGACAGGTGCCCAGGCCAACAGTCTGCGCCACAAAGATGGTTGAAGCACAAAAAAAAAAAAGGCTACCGAAATTTGAAAGAGGGGTGGCATCCTGATCCATCCGCACAAGAGTGCGGAGGCGGAGAGGAGCGTCATCTGGGTCAAAAAGGCGCCACTGGAGAGTGGAGGTACCATGGCTGGCTAGGTAGTTGGCGGGTCAGTTCCCCTCACGAAAAATGTGCGAGATTCTATAGCAAATCGACTGAAGTGTGGATCTGCATGACCGGGTGTTGAATCAGCCACGAGCCCTGGTGGCCTAAGGTCAAGAGGGTGGCGATAGCGGCAACATCGAACTCAATCGAAATGTGAGTGTAGATAGAGGCTGCAATCTGAAGACCGATCTGAAGCGCCTGAATCTCTGCGTCGTAGCTCGAGGAGGCCTGATGTATATAGATAGTTATCGCATAAAATATTTCGCACTTTATCAATTATATTCGCATGTCTGTCGCATAAATATTTCGCACTGACAATTATCTTCACATGTCTATCGCATAATGTTTTCGCCTTTTATAAATTATTTTCATAAGTCTATCACATAGTTTCACATAATTTGTTTTACAAAAGAGGAGGGCTGATGTATATAGCTGTCGATATCAAGATAGAATACCTCGATGTTACAATACAATTAAAGAAATCGCGAAGATTAATGCATAAACTAGATTCTGGACGACGTCAAGCAGTACATTCTGCATCTCGGTAACCTCACCTCGGTACCTATAAGTGATCACGGATATTTGGAAGTCATCAACACAAGTCGTCTGAACCTCGAAGAAGGCCAATTCGGTCAAAGAATTATTTATTAAGAAGTCGTAGAACATCGGAAATCAATCAAGATACCGACATCGCAAGACAAACCGACTTCGATCCGACAGATGTGACACTCGTCACACAGATAGAGGCGCGCCCATGCTAATCATTGCCTACAAGGTTCTTCTACGTCATCGCCGCCCCTAAGATGTCAAATCTTCATTAAAACGGGAATGATTTGTCTAGGGATGCGTGCCAAAAATACCTATAAATAGCAGTTCCGAAAACGAGAGAGGAGTTCGAAAAACGATCATACACACTCATATATTCACCTCGGATATCTCATTGTAAACCGACCTGAAATATATTGGAAAACCGACCTCTTTGTACTGAAACCGACTTCATAATATTCAATAAAAATCTCATTTTCTACAATCTTTTGTGCGAATTTTACGTTGTTAACGTTGATTAAATCCGTTTATCAACAATAGCATAGCATATCGCAAAAATATTTCGCATTTTATCAATTATCTTCGTATGTCTGCTGCATAGCTTTTCGCTAAATAATTTACTCTAACAATTATCTTCACATGTCTGTCGCATAATGTTTTCGCCCTTTATAAATTATTTTCGTATGTCTGTAGCATAGTTTCACATAATTTGTTTCACTTTGCGGAGAGGAAAGTTGACATATTATTTGGCGGTATGAAAAAATTGTTCCGTTTACAGAGCGAGGTGAAAATGACTTTCTTCAATATCAAACCATATAACAACCGTTAAATGTGATATAGCTTGTGATTACATTTATTCCAATTTTCCTGGCAAACCCAAACCAATAGTATATACATATATAATTAAACATATATTTAATAATTTCACCAAATATTTCGGATCACACAACTAAACAAAGAGAACACAATCACCATTGTTGTATGAATTATCAAGGCTCAATTACTGGCGCAACACACAAATTCAGCATGTGTTCGTTCCCATTGAAGCACCTGTAAGCAGAATTTGTCAACAAAGAAAAAGTTCAAGCGACCAACTCAATGTTGAGGAATCACATTCTAGTGTTGCGTACAACATTGATGTCTAAACATTACATAGCCCATTCTAAGATTGATTCCAACAAGATTTGTACTTTCAGGAAGTCCACCTTTCCACTAATCAAATAAAATATTCATGCATATTCTAATTTTCCATCGAGATAAGGTTAGAATAGATGTTGTCTACTCAAGGGTCGTTGATGTATCCTGGGTCATTATTATTTCCACATCTCGAATGTCTCGTTTCAACACACTGGCCAGTCTAGCGATAGCTTCAGTCTGCCGCTGCAAAACCTACAGTGTGCAAGCAGACAAAAGTAAAATAAAGAGGAGAAAATAACGACAATTATGATTATAAAACAAGAGATAACTACTTGCAATGAAAAACGATAAGTAGAGCCCAGCAGAACAAATGCTTGAGAAATGCCTTAATAAGTCACCCAAGGTTTGGATAAAACTTCTTAAGAAAGGATTTTGATAGATGGCATCAAATGACTCCAAATTTATAAGACAGATTCGAAAATTCACAATTCCAACAATAAACAACTCAATAGGAATCTAATCCGAACAACCTCAACGCATTTGTTTCAAATCCATCCATCCATCCTAAAAAAGACTGAGTCAAATACAATATGGTATACAAATATTTTGCACCAAAAACACAATCTTCCAGGAAAAGTAGTGATAAAGGGCGAAGTATATTTCCCGAGCTATTTATTTGTGAGCATGCTATTGTAATATGACATTTTGTTTAAAATCAAGGAAACCCAAACAAGTTAAGAATATGTGCTTCGCTAGTACCTCCTGCATGTCAACTAGACTTTGTTCTTGGATTTTGGTTGACCCGGGAAGATAAACTGACCCACCATTTAAGCCATCTGCTTGAAGACGAGAAAGTGTGAGCAGATTCTGGACCCGCCTGGAAAGCTCTCCTCCAGATCCCTTCAACTGCAAAAGAGGAAAGAGTATATGTCGTTCATGTTTTCCATCGTCACATTTAAAAACAGAGAACCATTAGGTATAATTTTACCTGTCTTGTTACGCCAGCCAACTTCTCTGCTAATTCTACTTCGCTCTTCATTAGAGGTAAACGGCTGCCTTTACTCTCCAATGCCTCAATTATTCTCATTACCTGGGAAATACAAATTAATCAAACTGAAATCATGGAGTAGATTATAATTGCGGATTAACATATCATCAAAATATATTATTCCTGCATAGTCTGAGGAAACCAAGCAAACCAGTATCTCCCAGTAAAGTTATTTTCACCAATCTATTTCAAACTAATATTATTTGAAAATTAAAATTGAGTTTAAAAGTTATAGGCCGTGATAGATCTTTAATTAAATGGTGTTACTTAAAACTAACTCAATTTACAAAGTGCAACCTGTCAAAACAAAACAGTATGCTAATTAACTGTGATAGCTTATCATGGTAAACAGGCCTAACAATATGCTCAAAACTAAAATAAGTATACAGAGCTTTATGAAATGCCCACCCTTAAAAGACGCCTCTGAAGGCTTTGCTCTTTCTGTTGCATCCTCTGAATCCATGGGAGTGTGTCAGCTTGAAAATGCCTTTGGAGCTGCACCAAAAAAATGCCAAAATATCTAATTGAGTCACATAACTACAAGCACACATTCACCCAAAAATTTGATTAATTGAGAGAGAGAAGAGGGAGGGAGATGGAGATTTCTCACCATCTTTACATTGGTCTGAGTCATCTTAAGTCTTTCAGAATCTGAGAGTATGACTTCATCTTGAAGCTGCAAAAACCATATTAGAAACAATATCATAATCTTTTGTGCAAATTAAAACATCAGTTGACGTCAATATGTCAGCTCAATATGTACTCAATATGTCAGCCCATGAAAACATCAGTCCAGATGCCTCATATAATATGTCCCAGAACACTTGACGTCAATATGTGCAAACAACTAAGATTGAATTGTCAGCTCCCAAAATTAGGCAAAGCCACTATTAGTCAAACTTTTATGTACCTTGAGACGCTGAGAAAGATCTTTAAATCCCTGCACCAGTTGCGGCCATAGGCGTTCTCTTTTTGAAGCTTCCATGCCTTCTAACTTGGCCATTGCTTCTGCCCACATAATCTGGTAATACAAACTATTTTACAAGCCGTACAAAATAGCTTCCATAGTAACCTTATATTTTAAAAAGATGAGAGAGTGATGTTGCAAATCAAATACTACAGTAAACTAGTAAACTCACATCTGATACACCCGCAGGCTTCATCTTGTACTGAAGTTCAGTCACACTAAACAACAAATGCTGCAAAACAAACAAGAACTTTTGATAAACATCTAAAGTGAAGAAAGAAAACTTAATATGGAAACCTAACAGTAAAACCACTTTGAGAAAGAAAACTTAATCACCAATAGTATGCTCTTCCATTTTATTAACCACACAATGCATCAAATATATACTTCCAAAAAAGAAAATACGCAATTTTGAGTAAGAGCTTCATTCGGAACTAGATCTGGAAATTTATTTAAACCCCACCAATTGAAGTAAGCATAATAGTTATTTTCATAAACCCAATGAACTCCACTAAGTAAAAACTTAATCACCAATCTAATTGTGTAGACTACTATCCAGTAAAATCAACATTTAAAAGAAACCTCACCTTGAATGCATAGTTAAGATTTCCAGGCTCCTCTTTATATGCATCCACAATTGCCTAAAGGAATAACATCAGCAGTTCCAATTAAACTTCAATTCTAAAAATTCAACACTTAAAGAACATAAAATATGAAATCAAACTTACAAAAAATAAATCTCACCTGAATATCACGATCGGCCAGAGAAAATGGAAGTGGAGCAACTGGGGCCATCTGAGTAGTCAGCTGCGTATTCGTGAAGTTCGTTGCAGACAGGGCATTGTTAAAAGGAGTAACTTGTGATTGCGTCTGTGAATTAAACGGCGTCCCAAAGCCAAACGGGTTTTGCTGCTGTTGGGGCTGAGGTGTCTGAAACAGCGACGGCGTTTGCTGCTGTTGGGGCTGAGGTGTCTGAAACAGCGACGGCGTTTGCTGCTGTTGGGGCTGAGGTGTCTGAAACAGCGACTGCGTTTGCTGCTGGGGTTGGGATTGCTGAGAAAAGGGTGTTGAGAAGAGTGAGGAGCCGAACGCCGGGGTTGAAGGGGTGCCGAATGCGGGGGTGGAGGAAGGGGTGCCGAATGCGGGGGTAGAGGAAGGGGCGCCGAAGGCCGGAGTGGAGGAAGGGGTGCCGAAGGCTGAGGAGGACTGAGCTCCGAACATTTGTTGGGTTGCGGCGGTACCCTAGTTTTAGAGATTGGGGAATCTGTTGCAGTGAAACTAGTGATGTTGCCGCCAATTGATTTCAGACAGTTGTAGAGACTTAGCAACTCACATCAATTCGCTTGGCATAGAGCTGCAATCTGAAACTGAGATTCACATAGAGAGCGGCGACCGGCAATTTGAAATCGGCGGCTTGTAGGGTTGGTGAGTGAAGAGATTAGCCGTCTGCGCCACTGATTTCACTTGAGGAGAGACCGCAAAATATTGGGAGTGGGATACAATCGTAGAAAGTACTTAAAAATGGTGGGTTACTGCTTTGATTCATTTCACGTACTAAAATATTTCTTTCAATTTATTTTTGTAAGTAAATCTTTCCATGAATTTTCCCCCAAACAATTCAAATACCTAAAAAAGTTCTTCTAATCTATCATTATATAAAAAGAATAACTATTTTATAATTTTAGAAACGTTTTTCCACCAAATACATTAAATGTATCATATATATAGTAATTGTTGACCAAAAAAATCGGATTTTGTTATGATATGGGTAGCTTTTATTTTATCAAGTCTGTCAGCATATTTTTGTTTTACATTTTGAAATGAAAATCAGTTTTTATTTTTGGTTTTGATTTTGGAGAAATTCTGACACACGATTCATTTGTAAAGGTTTCGATATTTTTTCGGTAAAGATTTAATTCACACAGTTTGCTTAAAAATCTTCATTTAATATTCAGTTTTTATTTTTAGTTTTTCTTTTGGATAAATTCTAATACACGATTTCTTTTTAATGTTATCTCTCTTTTTTTTCTTTTTATTTTTTGGTAAAGATCTGATTTATAGAGTTTGCTTAAAAATCTCAATTTAATATCTTTCCTTTATACTGATAAACACAATATTTTATCACGTCAATACAAATATATCACATTAACTACAAATTATACAAACTAGATCTATTATGGAACCTAACAAAATAAATTAAAAGATTACATTTTCATTCAATGTATAAAATTACAATGATATGAATCACCAAAAAAATGTTAAAATAAATAGATAATCACAAATCGTAAAATAAATAGATAATCACAAATTCAATATTAACGTAACAATTTTATAATCTTGATTTACTATTTTCATTTCAGTTGATAAACATAATAATTTATCACGTCAATATATATTATCACAAGAACTACAAATTAGACAAACTAAATCACTTATGGAACGTACAAAATAATTTAAAATATTACATTTTCATTCGATGTATAAAATGACTGAAATAATAAACAAGATAATCACAAAATCCACATTCTATGGTAACTGTTTTCTAAAATTGCCATAAAACTACCATTTTCACAAGATAAACAGTCTTTGATATCTATCACATCAATTTATAATATCCAAAATATTTTATTTTATATTTCTTGATGTTAAAAGATATTTGTTGCTTTTAAAAACGAGTGTGGGGATAATAAATATCCTATCACACCCATACAAAAAAGCACCTATACGAACATAAAAAAAAAAAAAAAATACATTTCATGACTAAAATTTAAATTGTTTATTACTTTTTGATTCATCTCATTCGATTTATGATATTCCACAAAATAATTACAGCCCGTGCATCGCACGGGTTACACGTACTAGTGTTTTTAGAGTAGCCTTTCAATCATTTTCCCCCTAAAATTCAAATATTTCAAAAATTGAAGAATATGGGTTGAATATAATTTGAAGATGAGAACATTATAAAACTTTTTTTTTTATGTTCCAACCATTCTCCGAAAAATCCGTAACAGCATGATTGGTATGAGCGAATGATATGAAATTCTTTACTCATTTCTTATCTCATGACTGATATATTTTTTGAAAGGAATGATCATTACAATAAGAATTGCAAAACTCATCTCCATGGGATTAGTCATTCCATAGTCAATGCAAAGTTTTTTTTTCTTTTTTTATTTATTTATTTTTATTTTTTATTTTTTCCGAAACGATAGAAGATATATACTCAACGAAAGCGAATACAAAGTTTATACAAATCGGAGACCAACTGGCCTACAAAAGCCCACAATAGGCGATGAACACCCAAGGCACCAAAACCAACTAATCAAAATCCACTGATTCACCTAATACTAAAGTTTACCGGCTAGCTGTTAGCAATGCCTAACCCATTGAACCGAGCAACTAACCGCAAACTCCATATCCCAAAAGGGAGTTCAACCACTGCACATAAGGCCTAGAAGAACTCCCAGCAAAATAATAAAAGCAAATACACATCGAATAAAACTATATAACACAAAAGATCCTATCACTACCAAGCTACAGAAAATCCAGAGATAACAGAGTCCCTCAGCTTACACATCTGCAAACTCTCTCCATTCCTTTCCAGCAAGTTCAACCACATCTCTGTCATCCATCCAGGACTCCTTAAACACCCACAAGTTCCTAGTTTTCCACAACTATCAGAGAATGTATGTGGAAAGCTGTATTCTTGCTTCTGAAGTTGCAGTTTTGTTGATACTACAAACACTTGACCACCATCCTTGAAAGCTATCTGTTTAAGAGTTCAGCCCATCCCAAGATACCTGTGCAAGCCTCCAAATTCTCTCTGCTCTACTACACTCAAAAATAAGTGCTCCACTGTCTCAGGCTTTTCTCCACATGCTTTACAAATACAGTTTATGTCCATCCCCTTTTTAATAAGGTTACAATTTACAGGCAGAGTATTTGTTAGGCACCTCCATAGGAAATGATTTAATTTACCTTTCACTTTGAGACCCCAACTTCTTTTCCTAGTTGCCATTTGCATTGATTGTCCTCTACTGCTCTCTGCATAGTCCATTATTTTCCACTCTTCAGCCATGAGCTTGGAATAAGTAGAAGATACTGAGAATGCTCCATTAGTTCGTCCCACTATCCCATACTAGCCTGTCCGGTGTTGAGGGATCAAGTCCTTTGATGCTCAGAATAGCCTGAGCTTCTGTTTCATTGAAGGTTGCCTAAATCAGCTGATTATCCCAGTGCCTGCCTGTTTGGTCTATCAAGTCCTTCACCCAGATGAGATGAGCAGTGTTATCTGTAGGTGCTGATGAGAATTTAAATCATGGCAGAGTTGGGATCCACAGATATTCCCAGATCTTCACTGATCTTCCATCTTTGATTTCACATCTTGCACCTTTCTTCAATGAGTCCCTTACCTCAATCCAACTATTCCACAACCATGATCCATTCTTCTTCTTTTGAACTATGAACAAGCTTTCATGTGGGTAATATTTGGCTTTGAGAACTTTGCTGACCAGCAGATTTGGTCTTGATAGGATCTTCCACAGTTGCTTAGCAATAAGTGCTCTGTTGAACAAAAGGATATCTTTGAAACCAAGACAACCTTTAACTTTGGGAAGAGTAAGGTAGTTCCATGATTTCCAATGGATTCCCCTTGTCTGATCAACATCTTTCTTCCACCAGAACCTTGCAAATGTTTGAGATATTTTATGGCATAGTGTTTTGGGCAACAGAAAGCATGACATTGCATAGAGTGGAAGAGCTGCAAGGACTGATTTTAGCAAAGTCTCCTTACCTGCAAGAGAAAGATATCTATTTTTCCAAGAAGTAACCTTATTAACCACATTCTCTTGAATAAACTGAAAAGTTTGAATTTTTGATTGCCCAATACCCAATGGAAGCCCCAAGTATCTCACAGAATTATGACAACTAATACCCAGAAGGATCTCATAATTTTTTTTAGGTGTGGGGTGGTGTGTTTTTACTAAAAAAGATAGAGAATTTTTGCAGATTAATTTGCTGGCTAGAGCATTGCCTATATTTATCCAGAATGTGAAGGATCAGATATGCTTGGTTCACATCTGCTTGGCCAAAAAGCAAGGTGTCATCAGCAAAAAATAAGTGGGTTAAAGTAGGACCATTTCTGCAGAGTTTTAGATTTTTCAAGTTACCTAGATGACACTCAGACTTGATGAGATAAGAGAGAATCTCTGATATTAAAATGAATATGTAAGGGGACAATGGGTCCCCTTGTTTGATTCCTCTTGTGGGCTTCACAAAGCCATGAGGAGTGCCATTCAAGTTTAAAGAGAAAATAGGTGAAGAAATGCAGGCAATGATCCATTTAACAAATGAATTATGAAAAAACCCATTCTAAGCAAAGTATGCTGAACACATAACCACTCCACCCTGTCAAATGCTTTGCTCATATCCAACTTGAGGGCCATGTAACAAATATTCCCCTGTCTGTGACTGTTTAAAAAATGAATCACTTCTTGAGCAACTATAACATTATCTAAAATTTGTCTATATCTCTCACAAAAGCAGCTTGATTTTTAGGAATGCATATAGGCAGACATGGCTGAAGTCTAGTGGCTAAAATTTTTGAGATTATTTTGTAAGTAGTGCCACAAAGACTTATAGGCCGGAAGTGGAAAATTCTATATGGATTTGGAATTTTGGGAATAAGAGTGATAAGTGTGTGATTTAGGCTTTTGAGAATTCTTCCTGATTCAAAAAAACTAAACACAGCAGAATACAAGTCAAACTTAATTATTTCCCAGAATTTCTGAAAGAATAAGGAAGTCATACCATCAAGGTCAGGAGCTTTGTTTGGATTGATAGAGAAAATGGCCTGCTTGACTTCTTCCATCCCTATTATTTTTGTCAATTCTCTTTTTTACTCAGTGATTTTTGCTGACAGATTCTGAATGATGTCATCTCTTAGTGCAAAAAGTTCAGTCGTGAACAAATCTTTGTAAAAAGATTCAATACACTCAGCAATTTCATTTGGATGCTCACATACAGAGTTATCATTTCCAATGAGCCTTGTTGTTGTATGTAATTAACAACTTAAAATTATAAACAACTAGGTGTGTTTAAATAGAAATAAGAAGATAATCGAATTTTATTTATGATATCGCAAGAGTACAGGAAGTCAGTTTTTTTGTTCTTGACCGAGATCATTTCAAGTCCGTGTACAATGCGCGAGAAAGAAAAGATCA